CGAACTCAAGCAGAGAAGGAGGTACTCTTTACCTCGTATGGAACTCGGAATTACGGGAGATTTTCTTTCACATTCAGGGTTACTCTCGTAAATATATTTTTGTACTCGCATGTCAATTCCATCAAATTTTTTTTGAAAAGCTCCTTAATCCTCCTATGTCTATGAGGAGAAAGTGTTCTTCGTGGGAGAAAAAAAATTAAACTTGCGAAAACGAAAAATGGCATGTCTCTCCTATCTACTTAAACATAAACGGAGGGAACAATTTTTCCCTTCGTAGAGTAAACCCTCGAAACCGATCGTCTCCAAGTGCAGTGAAATGACCCACGAGAAACTCGACTTAAAACAGTTGAAAATCAACTTACAAGTATTCAAAGAATTCATACGGTCTCAATACTGAAAACATGTAATGATTATAGGATGGAATTCATCAATTTGATTACAGAATTCCCATCGAGGTATATTCCTCAAAGGATTTCGACGACGGGAACGGGGCGCAAAGTAGTTTTACTTTTATTCTCTTACGCATCGCAACAATACATACATTTCAGTTATTGCAGCAGCATTAAAGAATTAAGCAATATCAGCAATCAACACACGTATTTCGATTTTTATATGGAAACATCTTCCAATGTAAGATTCTCTCTATTTCTTTTCAGGACCGGTATGCGATAACGTGACTATATCGAATGACACCAATGATACCCGTATGTATTGCCTCAAGGAAAGCCCATATTTGATTCAATATCGTTGCATACAGGACAATTTTTTGCTGAACGGAACGCGAACTGATGACGTGAATTGCCAAGCAAATGGTACATGGAGTAGTGGGATGTCGGATTGCTTATTCGGTTGTCTAAGTAATCCTGGCTCTCGTTCAGACACAAATTTGACATGGAATGGAGACAGATCAGTGGGAAGCATCGCAACGTATACGTGTCCTCAAGGTCGAGCGTTTAATACCACCAATGGCATTCAGGAAATAGTACAAAAAACATGTCAGACCAACGGAACCTGGGAATCTTTGACCGAACCTTGCGAATTTGCTTGCGCCAAGGATCCGATGTCGCCAGGAAATGGCATTCAGCTGGAGTTTACCGGGAAAAAAATTGGAAGCGTGGCCATTTACACATGCCCTAGGGGTCAGGCGTTTCCGATCAACAG